AAGTTTAAAACGTTGTTGAAGTAGAACTGATCTAATGAAGTTAAAGCCTTGTAGTGTAAAGACCTCACAGAAATCTTTGTTAAGGTTCGATTTGGTCCAGTTCACCCAAATTTAATAACAACTGTGTCATCTGCTGTCAAAGATTATTAAAACAACATATCACCAAAACATTTGAACCAAATATTTTACTAGATCTCTGTTTCGATTTCGAAGCAACTTCATTAGATATGTCACATCAAGGCATCATATTTTGACAGCGTCAATAAAACTTCCAAGTTGTAACCCGTTGAATTCACCTGCAGAGTTGCCTGTAGCCACGCGGAGATACCTAAATTATTGAGTGCTGGCAATTCTTTTGCTTTTAGCAGCGGGTCCAATATGCGAGTAATTTACTTGATGTTATTGTGCCTCGCCCTCTGAACGATTGATTATTCTTATAATTTCCGTTAAGATAACGGGCTGTTGCATAACACGATAACTGCGAGCGAGAAATGTCCTGGGCTGTTGGCGATTTCAAGGGCTTAGGCACGTTCAGGTAGCACAAAGCGTTTTTCGATGGTGTGACAACTTAGGATAGCTGGTACGGATCTTCAAGATTTCAACGCGACAGTTTTCGGTCGTCACCACAAGACAAGTCCTGTCGACATCTTTGTTAAGGCTTGTCTTGATCCGGATGCCGTGACTAGATATGGATTGGAACACAACTTTCAATAAAAACGCCGTAAGTGCTTTGCCTTCAGTGTACACTACACAGGCGTTTGCAGTGATGGAAGGAAATGAGAGTTCATTCAACGCTACTACACATGCAACTCCAGAGTTGGAGCAATCCCTAGATTTTTGGATCATTAAGATCGTGTTTTACTGCATCATTCTACTGGGTAGCTCTTTGGGGAACAGTTTAGTAATTTACATCATTGCGAGCAATGCACGAATGCGAACGCCGTCCAATTACCTTATCATGAACCTTGCGGTCTGCGATTTTGTGACGCCAGTGTTCAGCATCCCCTTCGACTTTGTGCTCGAAGAACACAACTACGTCTGGATTTACGGCGCAAGTATGTGTAAAATTCTGTGGCCTTTGACAACGCTGTCTTCAACCTCGGCCGCTTTGACCCTCGCAGCGATTTCACTTGATCGTTATCGCGTAATCATGCACCCCTTTAAGGCTCGCTTAACTATGGTCAAAATCAAATGTATTATTGTTGCGACGTATTTGTTTTGTTTACTAATGGTTACGCCGTACTCTTACGTGCTCGGTTTGAAAGGAAACGAGTGCCATGAGACTTGGCCCGATATTTCCTACAAAAAATATTACACGCTGAGTCTTTTCCTGGTGCAGTATTGCCTCCCTCTGACGTTCATGGTCGTCATGTATTCCTTAGCACTGAAGAACCTCTACACTACCACAGATAAGACGAGTACTAGAAAAGCAGAGAAAGAACAGGCTGAGATGAGCAGTACATCACGTAATTCTTCCACATCTGCAGAGCCAAAACTAAAAAAGGTGTCTTCCACAGTTCGTCTTGTGCGGAAGCTGTCCTCGACTGTAAGAAGAGGCACAACCGAAGCAAACAAGAGAGCGACTAAAATGTTTCTTGCAATAGTCGTAGTTTTCACCATATGCATGTTCCCAAATCAAGCGTTGTGGCTATGGGCGGATTTTTCCAATGGCGCTGACAACCCCAATTTCCTCAAGGCTGTTATCGTCTGCTGGTTGTTCACCTACTCCAACAGTGTCTGCAACCCGGTGATTTACGCCGTTTTCAGCCGGGATTTCAGAAGAGGTTTCAAACGAGCGTTCAAAAAAGCGTTCTGCCTACGTCACGGGCGCCGTCGAGTTTTTAACCCTGATTTAGTGGCGACATTAACCACGGAGTTAAAAAGTGTTGGCACGGACATAGAACGGCGAAAAAGAAAGATAGCTTCCGTAGAAGCACCTAAGTTATATCTTTTGTAATAGTGAGGGGAAAACATTTCCACATTGCAGAATCGCGCACGCGGCGGGGTAGTACACCCTTTCTTAATGGGAAGAAGACATTTCTTAAGAATATCGAGGCGAAATTTGCGAAATTTTAGAAATATTTTAAGAAAAAAGAACCGAGGCAGAAATTTTGAAAAGAATGTAATTTTGTGATGAAAGTTTGTATGTGCGTCGTATACCCGCAGGCTGGCTCCAGAATTACTTCAACGCCATCCAGACACCAAATACACTGGAAAACAGAAATGTCATATGCTATAATCTAAGAATATTCACAAGAATATTTTCAACCTAAAATCAGCAGAAAAATAAGAATTCAGCCTCGGCCGGACAATCAATATTATTTTAAAAAAAGAGTATAAGCATATTTCTAACCCTTTAGAAAGAAGATATGTCACATTTTTGTGATTCACAACTTGAAATTGTCTGCTTTAAAATCTACGAAACCTCAAAAGAGTGGCTCGGTCATAGAACGATATAAGAAAAAGAGTGCTGTGGTGGAATGCGCCCAAGTTATATCTTTTGTTATAAGAGGGGGGAAAAAATTCCTAGTTTCGCGTGGCAGGATTATATATTTCTAACGTTTAATCCTTTGCCAAGGGGGCCGGCTTCAATTCTTCGAAAGCTCAAAATAGCACTTTACAGAGGAAGAAAAGCATGAAAGAGGAAATAAAAAAAACAAAAACGAACAAGGTTGGTTTAGATTAGCCCAGTCGTGCAATACAAGAATTTGGGCTGAATCTCACTGATTAAGTCTGAACTATGACGTAAGATCCGCTAAGCAGCTCCTAACTTGCCTTTGCGAGCTAGTTGGCTGATTAAATAGGGCTCTGATATATTTATGCATAAAAAGACAAGTTAAGGGAAACTGGTTTTAATTTTGTCACTACAAAAGGGATTGTGTCAGTGCAGTCTAAACAAGACAACGTATTCATAAATAAAACATTTGACCAGTCTTTCTGTTAGTTAACAGGATTACAAGAACAGATGTTAACTGAGGTCAAGACTTGACGCGAAATTTTGAACTCCCTGGCTGTTTATAATACTGAAATTACAAACGTGAATTGAAACCGGCTTTGCATGTCATACTCCAAAATATTACGTAACATGTCTGTATACGTTTTCTGTAATGGGTCGGGGAAAATGGACGAAACATCTTGTCAGAATCCACGCGGACGTATCATGGTACAAAAGCAACCAAAAATGAAGCATTTCTAGAACATTTTTCTAGCTTCTAGCAAATTTACATCTGTTTCTTTTCCCAAGAAGAACATGTCTGAACTAGTTCCCTTTTTCTAGCAAGTTCCTCGACAAAATCTCTCGTACACAGCTTGCCTGTAAAACAGACATTCCTTTCTCCTTCGCACAGAAAAAGAAAGGAATTTTTGTCTTCCAGTGTACCAGTCAGCAGACATGCAACCCAAATTTACTTCTCCTGAGGAACAGTTTTTTAAAGGAACAGATCCGTTGAACGCACTTGATGGGTTTCACGTGGGGCTTGGAATTCTTTAAGACAGATAAGCAGCCGCTGTGATATTAAAATTACAAACTCGAAAGAAAGTTATCACGGTATGCTACACGTGAAATATCTAACATTACCCCATATCAATACCTGCAGATTTTTCTTTTAAGGGCCACTTGAGATTTGTCTTCATTTCAAAGGGCCACCGGGAGAGGTTTCTTTTTGTTAATCCGCACGCTCTTTTTGAAACCGGTATTTCTGGACTCCAGTTCATACACCGAAAATAGCCAGAACACCAATTTTCAGGCCCAATGCCATGTAGGGTTGAGATTGAAATACGATTTGAACATTGCAAAAATGAGAAGGTGTTGTATGGAAACGAGGAAGCTTTGCCCTCCAGAAACCGTTTCCGTTGTTAATCACTGCAAAAGGAAGCTGCTGGCATAGATCTATTGAAGATATGAAAATTCTAGACTCTAAACCCGAAAGGCAGCGATTTTATGGCTGTTCGAGATCTTGTAAAATTACAAAGCTTTGTAGGGAAAACCACTGCAGCGTAACTGGAAGGCAAAGCGGCTTTTTTCTAGACAAGTGCCTCTGATTTCTAGCGTCCATAAAAATTCCTTCTCAAACAATATAAATCAGAACATTTACGTGCAAGTTTATTTGTAAACTAATACTTAATTGATTA